TGACACCGGGGCAAGTGATTGTGCGGAATCGGCCTGGAAGTAATGCCGCACAATCCACCCTCAAAAGCAGCCCTTTTCTCCAGGGGAACTCATCAGTGGTCATTCTGGAGATTTCCAGCCCCCACCAGGGGATTGGCAACCCTAAACTCACTCTCAGCCCCCCTTCCCACTTCAAGGTAAGACAGGCACGGCCTTCTTGCCCCACCTTCGCTGGAAAAGTCTCTCTCAGGGTCCCACGTATCCCGTCTTTGAGGGGCGAACCACATACGATGGTGCGGCATCCAATCATGGACCTCCTTCCGATGTTTTACTTTCTTTCCTGTGAGCGACTGGCATTCAAGTTGTAAGTGAGCGATTTGGCTCCTGCCAGGGCTCTTTTTGTAGAAAAAGCCCAGCAGGAACTCATTAGCATAATAGGCCACACCCAACAGCAGGAACTCATTAGCATATTAGGCCACACCCCTGACAGCACCGCTCATTAGCCCATTAGGCTACACCACCATGTTACCAGAAGTATGGTCATCCAGCCACACCCACGTTTCCCTTCTTATTCTGTTTACCTTGTTTGTTGTCAAAACCCAGGGCTTTTTAAACTCCTTTGCATGTTAGGCCACACACCCCTAATGTAGCCAATCCGAATGAGTTCCTGCTGTTGGGTGTGGCCTGTTATGCTAATGAGTTCCTGCTGGGCGTGGCCAACTTGGGAGCCAGCCGGAACTCCGTTCCTGTGCGTTCCTGCCCAAAAATAGCCCTGGCTCCTGCATAAATTAGTTTGCTCTGGAGCCATGCTTCCTGAGCTGAGACAAAAATGTGCGAGCCAGAGGCTAAAAAACTGTGTGCTAGCTCACACTCACTCCGCTTAGGGGGAACACTGGGTGGGAGATCTCGGATTACGACTGATCTCCATGTGACAGAGATCAGTTCCCCTGGAGAAAACGGCTGCTTTGGGAGATGGACGCTGTGGCTTTATACCCTGTTGCAGTCCCTTCCATCCTCAAACCTTCCCCTCACCAAATCTCCAGGAATTTCCCAACCCAGGGCTGGCAACCCTAGCTTGAGTCAAATGTGATGCTGATTGGGTCGCCAGGTCCTACGTGGCTGGTGGTGAGGGGCTCCCGGGTCCTCTCTGGGATGTTCTGCCACATGCCGACGTTGGGGGGTGATGCTCTAATTTGGGGGGCAAAACTCTATGGTCATTTGCCTTCAAAACCAGGGGTCATTTAGTAGAAAAAGAGGTGCAGGAGCTCATTAGCATAACTCATTAGCACATCCTATTTGCATGTGCCACACACCCTGACATCACCAGAAGTGTGTCAGAAGGCAACACCCACCGCTCAGGCTCCACTGGACTGTTTTGGATGCTGCTCTTCGGGGGGGGGGGGGAACGTGCAGATCTGTCCTTGCAGAGGAGGGAGAGCTTGTACCTGAAGGTGGGCCGCGGGGCCTCTGCAACTTACCCGGCTGCTTCTTGCTCCTTGTGGCCCAACTGAGGGTTGCTGGGAGCAGGGGCGGGGCTTGTTGCATGCGCCTGTCCTCTGGGCTCCTTACTGCCGGAGTTCCGCTCCTGTGCGCTCCTGCAGGAAATGACCCCTGTTCAAAACTATAGAGTTTGCTCAAAAACTAGAGTGTCACCCCCGATGTCGGTGATGTGATGATGTCACTTCTGGGTGACATCATTGTATCAGGGATGGCAACAGATCCAGGACCCTAAAGGCGAGGGGAACCCTGCTGGGATCTGGGGGCTGAGAACCATAGATACTGAGTGCGACAAGGTCACCTGCCACCTCTTGGTTTTGCCTGGCATCTTGCTGTCACTGGGTTGCCACCCATGGAAAGCAGCTATTCAGGACACATACACATGAAATAACATGAGGCTGCCTTCTACTGAATCAGCCCCCTTGGTCCATCACAATCAGTATTGTCTACTCAGGATGGCAGCCGCTCACCTATCGCCTGATTCCTTTCAACTGGAGATGCCGGAGATTGAATGAGGGACCTTCTGTGTGCGAGGCAGATGCTATACCACTGAGCCACAGCCCCTCCATCGTATTGCATCTGTTGGCCTTCTAATTGGGTTAGGGGCTAGTTTCAGAAGGTAGCCATCTTGGTCTGCAGGAGAAGAGCTGGGTTCAAGTCCAGCGGCACCTTAGAGACCAACATGAATTTCAGGGTATAAGCTCTGGAGAACCATAAGAGAGCTCTGACTCTCGAAAGCTTATACCCTGAAACCCCCTTGTTGGTGTCTGAGGTGCTGCTGGAGTGTGGCTTATGTAAAGAAACAACAAAAAACAACAGACCAGAGGTCACACAGAGGTATGATGGAGCGGAGAATTGCTTCGGGGAGGGCTCAGTGGATGAGCCTCT